TCTCTAGCCATCTCTTAAACTCTTTATTATCTTTAATTTTATTTTTTTGAGTCAGGTCTTACTCTGTTGCCCAGGCTGGAGTACAGTAGCACAACCGTGGTGCAGCATAGCCTTGATTTGCTGTGCTCAGGCGATCCTTCTGCGTCAGCCTCTGAATAGCTGGTGCTATAGGCAAATATTGCTATGCCCAGCTAATTTTTTATTTGTTGTAGCGATGAGGCCTCGCTAACTCCTGGACTCAAGTGATCCTCTCACTTTGGCCTCCCAAGGTGCTGGAATTATGGGTGTGAGCCACTGGGCCCTTTTGAACTCTTTAAATACTGTTCATGAAAATTGAATTAAGCCTTTCTTGAGCATTCTATTTAAAATTGCTACCTGGCCCTTCCATTCCAAATCCCCTTTAGCCTGTTCTAAGTTGTTTTTATTGCCTGTAACAACCTAAACACGTAACTGACGTATTTACTATGTTTCTTGTGTGCTTTCTGTCTCTCTTTACATAAGAGTATGGACTATCATTTATTATAGTATTTCATGTGTACCAAGTACCTAGAAATACACCTATGCCTGATGAATTGATAAATGAAAGAATTAATGTGTAGTAATAATAATAGCAAAACATTACTAAGTACTTTGCTGTATACTAAGTACTATTTTAATTGCTACATGTGTTATTCTTCAAAACATCCTGTGAAGTCGGTGTTATTATAATTCCTATTATATGAACGAGGAAATTAAGGCACATAGAAGTTAAGCAATTTGATATTCACTTAACGTTTTGGGTAATGTGACTAATAAGTGCCAGAATCTGGATACTAACACAGGCTGTCCTGCTTCTGGGTCATGATGCTACTCATTGTGCTAAACTATCTCTAGTTTGTAGACATAGCTTTATGAAAAAAAGTACATATTTTAATAAATGAATAGCTCTCAACCTTTTTAATGTCTCAACCACCTGAAAGAGCATACCTCACATGCATAGAAACTAAAACCTTTCTAAGGGCTTCAGAGGTAAGAAAGCATGGGGATTGTAAGTAGTTTTCTGCAGGCTGTCTGTAAAGCCTCCATTTCTACCTGTCCTCTGGCATCACTCTTGACAACCACCACCTTGATTTGACTTTTGAAAAAGTCTCCAACTGTTCAAAATGTCCATTTCTTCATGCTAAAATTTTGCTTTGGAACTTTAAGCTATCAGATGTCTTTCTCCCTCCCAATTCCATGGTTCTATGAATGTATTTCTGTCCTGAAATGTATAGGTAAAATATTAACTGTAGAAAGAGAGAAAAACCTTTTCCTGTACCAAATGCTGGTCAAGTTCTTCCTGTTTGAACTTTAGTAGAAATTGCATGGGTTTCTCAATGCAACAGAAATTAATTGAAAGTTGAGAAAGACGTTGAAGATACAAAAATACAAAAATAATGACTTTTCCAGAAATCATGATAATCTTTGGATTTCTGCTGCAACACTGGGCTTTATTGACAAGACCCTTGAAATGTTTACATCTGTGGCATACCTGACAGTGGATAGTTCACATTTGTTTCAGAACAAGAGTTGTTTGTGTTTTTTTTTCCCTGCCCACTTCCCCTAGTGTTGGCGTCTTCTCCCTTTATTCTCATTTGCCTAGTCGGTTATTGATATTAAAAAAAAAAACTTAGAGAATTTCAAGTTTGGTATATGTATATCCCTAGTATTAGCTTGCTAGAGTTGCAAGGTAGCAAAATACCACAGACTGGGTAGCTTGACCAACAGATATTTTTCCCTCATACTTCTGGAGGACAGAGGTCTGAGATCAGGCTGTCAGTCAACAGGATTGCTTTCTTTCAGAAGGTTTCCCCTTAGCTTGTAGACATCACCTTCTCCATTCATCCAAATCTGATCTCTCCTCCGTGTGTGTGCATCCTGGGTGTCTCTTTTTTGTTTTAAATTTCTAAAAGGAATCATTTATTATTAATTTTTTTACATGTATAAGTCAAAATACGAAGGAATCTATTGTCATACATGATATTCCTGACATACAAACTTATTATATATTGGTGTTTATGTAATTACAATTGCACACACGTAATTATAGATTTTATTTTTTAATTATTTTATTTTAGTTTCCGGGATACACATGCATATTTGTTACATGGACATATTGTGTAGTGGTGGGGATTGGGTCTCACGTGGTTCATTCCCTAGATGAACACTATGTTTCCTATAGGTAGTTTCTGAGCCCTAGTTCCTCTTCCCCATTCTCCAGTGTCTATTATTTCTGTCTTTGTGACTGTTTAGCTCCCATATATGAGTGAGAACATGTGGTGTTTGGTTTTCTGATTCTAAGTCAGTTTATGTAGGATGATGATCTCCAGCTCCAACCATGGTGCTGCAAAGGACTCTTTCTTTGCTTTTTGCTAGATCATTTTTCTCTTTCTTCTCTCTCAGTGGGGATGTACTATCAACATCAGGCTCAAATTCTCTGCTTTATCTCTCTGTATATACTCCCTTAGGAAGATTGTTCCTACCCAGATTTCACAGTCATTTTAATATTAATTATTTCAAAATTTGGTCAACCCTGACTTAACCACCTTTAAAAGAAATAACAAACCGAAAAGTATCTCCATGGTACTGAAAGCTTCCTATACTGGTACTGAAAAGTAAAATAGTACAGCCTCTTTGGAAATCAGACAGTTTCTCAAAATATATACATGGGTTTACCAGAATGATGCAGTAATTCCACTTGTAGGTATATATCCAAGAGAAATGCACACAAAAACTTGAATATGAAAGTTTGTAGCAATATTGTTCATGATAACCAAAAAATGGAAATGAACTGAAATATCCTTCTACTGATAAAGGGATTAATACAACATGGTATGTCTGTGCAATGAAATATTATTTGACAACAGAAAGGAATGAAGTACTGATTCTTGCTACAACATAGATGAGGTTTTTTAAATTATGTTGAGTGAAAGAATCTGATCGCAAATATACAATCACACAGTATATAATTCCTTACCAGAATAGGCAAATCTAGAGAGATACAAAGTATATGACTAAAGATGCCAGGCTTGAGAGGAAATGGGGGGTGATGGATAATGGAGCTGGAATTTCTTCTTGTGGTGATGATAATGTTCTAAAATTGATTGTGGTGGTGGTTATACAACTCTGAGAATATACAAAAAGCCATTGAATTGTATAATTGGGTGATTGTTATGGTATGTGAATTGTACAGTAACACAATGTGTGTATGAATATATACATATATGATATCTCCATGCAAATGTATCATTTTACCTAGAGTAAATATGAGTTAAAAACTAATTCAAAAGTTACCCTCCCATTTTCCTCTGGCCACTGTTCTTTGGTTTAAAAAGTGTATATATTAACAAAGTACATAGTAATGGTAGCTGTATAAAAGGAGATGAGTGAGTGCTTTGTAGTTATTATTGTACATGATAAGAGCTCTGTTCCAGAGTTAGACATGAAATCAATATGATAGTACACACTGAGGTCATTTTGAGTCAATATAAAGGGAAAGACATTATTTTTATTAAAGGATCTACAAGTTTCCAAACCAATTTAAATGTAATGACACAGGACCTTAGAAATAGAAATGTATCTGCAACCATCATGTTACATAAGCAAACAAGTGGTTTTATAATTAAGATAATCTGAAGTTTCTAACAAACTGTATTAAACATGAACTGCTAATGGTACACAATTGGTGTCCTGTTCCTTTTATAATAGTGCTTTTAGTGTTCCACTGAAACATGGCCAGAGAATGTGCAATATTCTTGGTTACTATTATGAGAGACTCTATATTACATCCCCACTGTCTCTGCTGTTAGTTAGAAAAATACTGGGAGCAACGACAGCTACTATCAACAGGGAGCCATATTAATTATTTGAAATGTGCCTCATAAGAGGAATCAGCAGAGTTTATTACAAGTTGAATATTACTTGAAACGAGAAGGTTATTCCAACTGTTATCATAATCTATGTATCATTAACTTTCCTTGTTTAGGAAAAGAGATTAACAACCTTGTAAATTGCTATAGTAAATGTGTGAAATATATAACAGCATATTCCCATTGTAAAAAGAAAGTGGTGGGTTCACCATTTCTACCCAAACCTTCTTTATACAAAGTAGCTTTAGAAATTAAACTGACTCTGTGATGATGCTTTCTAGTCTCAAAATCCTAATTGCTTAATGGATACCAACTATAGTTACTGTGACTGTCAGAAAATTTTTTTTTGTATTTAACCTGACAGTTTTTAAAATCAACATTTTGGCCTTCAAATCAACTTTAACACTTTAAATTCATGAGGCAGAAAGTGGATTACAAATGTGTGTGTGAGCTGATAGAATGCTTTGCAAGGAACAGAGATGAGCCTATCTACTTTTTAAATTTTGGTTAACTAGGTTAGTTACTGTTTTTTTTTATCAGACAAGGAGAAATACCTTTTTATTTTTATTCAAATAATGGAAGTAAATCTTAGAGGTGAAATATAAATTAGCCAGGCGGTAAATGATCCAAACAAATACTTCTCAAAATGTTATCTATATATTGGATGCCAGTCTGCAAACTGTTTATTATTGATCTGCCATGAAGTAAGTGAAGAAATTGAGTGTAAGTGATTAGAAACACTTTGTTACTTATAACAAAGTAACAGAGAACTTTTTGTCTACATTATCTAACAATTAAAAAATGGACTTATATTTTTTGTCTTTGTTTTTTGTTCTTTCATTTCATTTTCCTTATAATTCACTTTAAAAAAAATTATCACTCCACAACAAATTTGTAATTTAACAACAACAAAAAAAAGATAGTTGGAAATGCACTGCTCTAATTGGGTGATGTTTGGATGGCACATAATGTTTTTATATTTGGGCAGATCTGTCTACACTGTATAATGGTTATTAATTCAATGTGGAGTGAGATAATGTAACATCATAAAAACAAAGAAAGGGAAAAGACATAATTACAATATCTTCCTAACACTTCTTTTTGGGTCCACAGGGCAAGCACATCATGGACAAGTTTCATACATTTCTCCACCAATTCACCTTGACTCCGAGCTAGAAAGGCCCTCTGTTAGAGGTGAGTTTTTCATTTTGCACTCATTCTTTGATGAAGGCAATTAATCAAACTAAAGAAGATTGTAAATACATATTTTGTAATGCAGTACTTTTTATAAAAGCAGGGGATAAATGAAGTATGTGAGTAATCTGGAGATGCAACAAGTCTTCATTATAAATTAAAATGTGCAATATTTTTCCAAGAAATGTTTATGAACCAAAATTCAATGGCTTCAAGAAATAGAGATTGATAGTGATTTAACAAGTGGTGGGATATTTCATGAAAGACAGCTTTGATTTAGAGATAACCATTTAACTATTACTTTTTGTACTGGGACTTTCTTCATCTGCTGTCCTAGTTTTTACATTAAGATACCTTAATCTAAGTCATATTGATGGATTTTTTCCCTTGAAAGTGGCATTATTATTTTTAAAAGTCATTTTTGTATTAATATGATCATTTAGTTTTAAAAATATATTAACTAAAATTATATATTTTAAAATCATGACTATCACTTTCAGGTAAAGATTTTTTAAAATAAATAGCCATACAAGGTAAAAATTGAAAGATAATATTTACTACCTTAGAGTCTAAATACAGAATTAATCTTTCTGCTTTTATAGAAATAGTTATCAATGACTCTCAAATGTTTCATGATGTTCAAAACTATATTATATGATATGTCTTTTAATTTTATAAATAACAAATATTCCCGGGTTAACTATTTGGTTCTAAGTAATGGAGTATATTTTCTTATGTTTTCAACAATGTGATTACTTGATAAAATAAAAGTCATTAGGTCTGAGTTTTGTGAGCATATTTTCTGTATAGGCTAGTTTTCTCATACGAGTCCCTTACCTTTTCCTATCTATACAATAAATTTTTTTTTTCTTTTTTTATTATGAAGTTGTGGGGTACAGTTAAGGGTTAGGTATACAATTGCGTTTCATTCAGGCACCTTGTTGATTTGGGGTGTTTCCCCGTTCCCAGACAGATATTTGCTACTGTTAATCCCATCTCCCTTCCCCCACCATAGTTTCCCAGTACAGTCAGTCATTTTCGTATAGTATTGCATTGGATGTTTAAGGTCCATTATATGAGTGAGAACATGTGATATTCGGATCTTTGTTTCTGTGAGAGGTCACTCAGTATTATAGACTCTAGTTCCATCCAGGTTGCTGCGAAATTCATGATTTTGTTCTTTTTGATGGCTGCGTAGTATTCCATCATGTATATGTACCATATTTTTTTAATCCAGTCCTCTTTTGATGGGCAGCATGGCTATTTCCAGGTTCTTGATATTGTGAACAACGCTGCGATAAACATGCGTGTGCAGGCAACCTCACTAATCACCAGGGAGATGCAAATCAAAACCACACTGAGATACCACCTAACCCCAGTCAGAATGGCAATTATCAACAAGTCAAAAAATAACAGCTGCTAGAGAGGGTGTGGTGAAAAGGAAACACTTCTACACTGTTGGTGGTAGTGTAAACTAGTGCAACCTCTGTGGAAAGCAGTGTGGTGATTCCTAAAAGCTCTAAATACCAACCTCCCATATGACCCTGCAATCCCCCTACTGGGAATATATCCTGAAGAACACAAATCACTCTATACAGTAAATTTTTACCAGTGTTTTAAGGATCTGCTTTATCAGTTCTTCTGTGAAATCTTCCCTAACTTTGCTAGGGAGGAGCTCTCTACATGCCTCGGTTCTCCAACTGCTCCCTGTGCTTCCCTCAGTTATTACACCTAAGACCTTATATTTCATTTTGCAAATGTGTGTTTCCTGCTTTTATTTGCATACTCCTTGAGGGCACAGTGTCTCATACTTATTTTCCCGAACCATTGGTCTGTGCTTGGCACAATGTAGAAACTCATTCATTCAATTCTAAGTGACAGAGAAGGTGACAGCTTAGCTTCTGAAGGATGCATCTGTGTTTTTCAAGAGGAAAACGGAACAGAAATGATAAGGGAATCTCATGAAGGGGAAGCAGAATGAGCCAAAGCATGAATACGCGAACGTGTGTAATATTTTTAAGGAAGTGTGCTGGATATATAATAAAATGGGAGCAATTCTAGAGGGAAAGACTGGAGAGATATAATAAGGCATATTGTGAAGGATTCTGCATCTCATGCCAAGGAATCCCTATTTTATCCTGGAAAAAAAAAAAACATGAACTATTTTCATTTCCTTTCCGTGTCACTGGAATGTTACATCATAACATCATAACATTATCAGTTCTAGATATGAAAAAAACATTTCTGATGTTAGTGTAGGTGATGACTGGGGAAGAGATTGGCAGAAGGAGGCTGTTTCAGAAGGTCAGATAAAAGATGACAGGGAAATTAGTTAGGAGTGTGTCAGCGGCAATGTGAGGATCTGAGAAATATTTTGAAGAGACATGACATTTGAATGACTAGATACAGGGAAAGGACAGAAGTGCCTCTGAGCTGTTTATATTGATTAACTGCTTGCATGCTGTCATGGTTTGAATGTTTGTATCTCCTCCAAAGTTCATGCTGAAACTTAATTTTCAATGAAACAATATTGAAGGTGGGCCTTTAGGAAGTGATAAAGTCCTGAGGGCTCTGGTCTCCTGAATGGATGAATGGTCTTTTAAGAGGGCCAGGGGAAACTAGCTAGGCCCGTTTTGCCCTTCTACCTCCGCCATGTGAGGATGCAGCAGCCCACACCAGACGCTGAATCTACCAACCCTTGATCTTGGACTTCTCAGTCTCCAGAACTGTCAGAAAATACATTTCTGCTCTCTATAACTTATTCAGTTTCAGGTTTTTGTTGCAACAGCACAACAGACTGAGATAGTTGCTTATGACATAATCTCTTGCTATGTGGAATAGATATGAATTATAAACTGATATATTGTTTTAGACTTATTAATTCTTAGTAGAATGTTTTTCCTATCAAAAATGGAAGACTATTTATACAAGTTATAACTCTATTAGAATTCACATCTTTAAACATGCCCCCAGTACGATTTCAGAAAGAGTGTTAAAGGTCATGGGTAGGGAGGTATCACTAATAATCTATACTCTAAAACTTAGTGATGCAAAACAAGAAACATGAGTATAGTTCTGAGACTTGGTTGAGTCAGAAGCATACCAACTTAACTCAGACCAGATTGTTTAGTAGATTGCAGGTTGGTTTTGCAGGGGAGGGGACTCCCTCACAGTTTTAACAATTGCCTTGATGTCATCTGGGGTGATGACCACATGTTTCTTTCTCATTCAGCAGGCTAATTTAGGCTCATTCCCATGAGGAAGAAGAGCTCCCAACAGTAGAAAGGCGAGTGCTGAAGTTCAAGTGTTTCTCAAGCCTTGGCTTGTGTCATATTCACTAATGTTTGATTGGCCAAAGCAAGTTACATAGCCATCCTGACTTAAGAGAGCCCAAATAGATTAAATCTCCTATGCACAGGACCAAGGATATAGGAAGGAGAGGATTGAAGCCATTTGAGAACTTCCAAATAGATTGAAGCCATTTGAGAACTTCCAAATAGGCATATAGAAAGTAAAATAAATTTAGGAAGAAATAAGAAAAAAAAGTGATAAAATAAAGGGGTTTAGAATAAATAATAAGGTTGATGAAGTTGTCAATTCTAGACCTTTCTTACCTCTAGCTTCTCCAGCTACTACACATAAGCTCAAAAATATGAACTTAGCAATGCGAATTTGAGATAATATAAAATAAAGTCTAGCATCTGGTGACTATTACTGTGTACTTTTTGGTTCATTTCCGTGGCATATGGGAGGAAAATGGGCTTTGGAACCACACAGACCTGCATGACCTTGGGAATTTTCTGCCTGTCTTCTGTAGAACAAGGATAATAATGCCACCATGACAGGTTTATTAGGATGATCAAGTGAAATAATACATGTGTGGTTCCTGGAAAATATCTGACATATATCAGACCCTGAGGAGCTGGTAGGTAGGTATACATTGTTAAAAACTTAACTTTAAGCCGGGCTCGGTGGCTCAGCCTGTAATCCCTCGCCTTTGGGAGGCTGAGGTGAGTGGATTGCCTGAGCCCATGGGTTCGAGACCCGCCTGGGCAGCAAGACCTCACCTATACAATAAATCAAAAAATCAGCCGGGCGTGGTAGCACATGCCTGTAATTCCAGCTACTCGGAAGGCTGAGGCAGAAGGATCGCCGGAACCCAGCAGGTCGAGGCTGTGGTGGCCGGGAGCGGCCACTGCACTCCAGTCTGGGAGACAGAGTGAGACTCCAACTCAAAAAAAAAAAACAAAACTTAGCTTTAAAATGATATCACCTTTGTAGGGATGGTATTGAACCAGTGAAGAATGAATAACTATAATCCAACTGTCATTTCTGCCTAATATCAACCTCAGATTGTGCTCTCTACCTTAGAATTATTGTCCTGATAATTTCTACTTCTCATATTATTCCTTTACATACATTGACCCAGGGACCCTCTTAAATTGTTCCATGATTAATGTAATTGTGTCTGTAATTATTAGCTCATGTGACATAGCCCTGCAATTTTCAAAATAAGAATATTTAGTTAGATGAATAAAGAGGGTTGTACAAATTACCAAAATAACATTGCAAAAAATCTTGTTCATTTTTCTTAAGACTATCTCATATTTTAATTAAAGATAATATTGGAAATTTCATAGAGTTGCAAAACAATATAATTAGTCTAAAACCACAAAATATTTCCTTTCAATTATCACTTCTCATCTTCTTTTATGATTTTTAGGTATACTGCACACTTGTTGGTATTTATATATTTGAATTATATATGCAAACCCTATGTTTCTCTCTGTTTATCTTTTGACAGAGGGAGGAGAGGGGAAGAGAGAGGATTTTTCTTGTAATAGGTTTTTATCTAAATTTTTATATAATATGACTTATTACAGTATTTAAATCATTGGAATTCTATCTCCAATAGTTTTTTGAGATTATATAACAATATCCTTTGAATTACCTATAAATTAACAGTAGTTAAACATCTTAGCTTTTTTTCTTTTTTTTTT